GATAGGTCCTGGATGAGTACATGGAGGAAGAGTAGGCAAACCCAATGGATTATGCATAAACCCTATTGCTTCTAGTTTCAGTTGCTTCACTCAAGAATGAAGCCCTCACTCTGCAGTGTCTCTCAGTAGCACTGGGGTCTCCAGGCAGAAAAGGTTCTTCCCAGACTTCAGAATGGGTTAAGACCTTTCTTCCCCACTCTACCCCCAGTGATCTCAGGGATCCCCATCCCATCACCCATGACCATTCTGTGTGGCCTGCCTCTCTTTCTCTTGTTTGCAGACACCCCCTAAGCCACCCTAGTGGCTCTCCTGGCTTAAATACCACCTCTGTCTATTTCTAGCCCTGACCCCGCCTGAATTTCAAGCCTGGGCACCTCAGCGCCTGCCAGGGAACTTGCCATATCAAGGCACCAGGCATCTCAAACTCAACCCATCAAAACGAACCCACTGCCTTGCCTCAAACTGGCTTCTCCTCTGTTCCCCTGGCTCAGTGAAAGGCCCCATCGTCCACCCAGTCACCCCATTCCTACAGCTCCAAGCTGCCCGGACCCCTCAATCCAAGACCCAGTTGGTCATTCATGTGTCCAGCTGCCTATTTGATGCCTCCACTTGGATGTCCAGTGGGCATCTTTAACAAACATGTCCAAATTGAACTCCCCATCCCGCGAGCTGCTCCTTCCAGTCTGCCCAGCTCAGCAGATGGCAGCTCCATCCTCCCAGCTGCTCAGGCCAAACCCCTGGAGTCATCCCTGACTCTCTTTCCCTCCCACGCTACAAACCGATCTATCCACAGTTCCTATTAGCCCTACTTCTGAAATACATCTAGACGTACTGAAATATTTATGGTGAAATGACAAGATGTTTTGGATTAGGTTCAAAATAATCCAGGGGAAGCGGAGTGGAGCATGTGAGAGGAAATAGATAAAACAACACTATCCATGAGTTGATGATCGTTGCAGTTGAGTGGCAAGTACATGAGTGTGTGATGGCCTACGCCATGCTATTCTCTCTACTTTTGATTTCCCATAATAAAATGTTGTTTGTATGTGTCTGTTAAACACACGCATATACATGCATACATATTCGGAGAAGGAGGAAAGAGTGCACAGGAGAGGAGAGGAGAGGAGAGGAAGGAAGGGGAGGGGAGACCAGAGGAAGAATTCCTCAGCTTCCCTGTCTAAGTCATCATTGCCTCTTGCCTCCCAGCTGGCCTTCCCTCCTCCTTTTCCCATTTATAGTCTATTTTCAACACAGCCACCAGAGTGATCCTGATAAAACATGTCAGCCCGTGTCACTCCTCTGCTCAGAACCCTCCAGTGACTTCCATCCCACTCAGAGTAAGAGCCAAAGTCTCCCGGGGGCCTTCCAGCCTGAGTCTGTGCTGCCAGTACCTCTCTGAGCGTCTCCTTCTCTCCATCTCCCTCCCTCCACTCCAGCTACCCTGGCCTCCTGGCTCTTCCTTGAAAGCTCAGCCTGCACCTCAGGACCTTTACGCTTCCTCTTTCCATTCCTGCAAGGCTCTTGCCACAGATTTCTGCAGGATTATTCCCTCACCTCCTTTAGGTCTTGGCTTAAATAGTTTCTCTCGTTGAGGACTTCCTGACCACTCAATTCTTAATTGCCCCAGGACCCTCACCCCTATTT